CACTTCTGTGTAGAGGGGGGGAAAGACCAACACCCACACTGCCTTGGGCAGTCCTGGTGTGTCCTGAATCATGGACACATCTTTTAGATGGTGACCCTCGGCCTGCCTGTCCTTCACCCTTCTCTACAAGGCCTTTCATCATGTGGGCTACTGGGAGCCTGCCCCGCTTTACAAACTTATAAATTATGTCCTTATTTGTGGGCAAGAGTATCTCAATTTCCTTCTTGAAATCTTTTCTTTTACTGGGAAACAGTGAAGGAAATGTAATCATTTTTCCAGAAAATGTTTGTGCCAGTGTTTCTGTTTGCCATCATGCTCCAGTCTAGAGCAGGCAAGATTATCTGTAGACCCTAACTTAGAAGACACATGTTCTGTATACTGCTATAAAATTATTCTGACAATTAATCTTAAAAAAATAAGGAAAATATTTATACATTAATTCACAGGATGCATAGGCTTGCATAATACATGCACAGACAGACACAGGCACACACATAGATGCACACACACATAGATACACAGACATGTACACAGACACACACACACATACTCACAGACACACACACCCTTAGACCAAAAAGTTATGCCACTCACATTTCTTATTACCAGCCTGGGGTGATACAATTATGCTGGAGTTGTATTACCTTATTCCTCTTACTAGAATTTGTTTTTACCTTAGTTAAAGTCATCGTTTTGCAATACTTACCCTTCCAAAACTAAGACATCATTTTCATGATATTGTGGATTATTACAGGTAAATGATCAGTTATTTCAGTTATCAATTACTACTGACTTGACTGACATTGGAAATCATAATGTTTCATTAACACAAGAAAATGTCACAAAGGAAGAGCATCTCAAAACAAAAGGTTTGATTTGCGAAGTATTTAACTATGTACAGGGAGGGATTTTTCCTTGATTAAAAAAATACCTCAGGGGGCCCCCACATCAGCTTACATCTCCTCTTCTGGGAGATAGGCCATTGACACTGTCACCCCAATGGTTAACCTGAGAGACTTGACTGTACATTGAATTTGCAAGTTACATTCACCTAGATTTTATCATTAAGGATAACTGGCTTGCAACCAATGAAAAATATGTGCTCTCAATTAAGTACACAATTAAGAAGGTATTAGTTAGAGATCTAGACCTTTATTATAAAAGAAATACAAATTAAATATATACTGTGACAGATGTTAAAATGCCAGTAATTAAGATCTGTTTCAAGCACCAATTGGCATATTCTCCAGGATGACATAATCATTTAAGCACTGTCTTTTTTGCAATAATGAAAATAAAAGTGTTCTGGAAAATGTATATTTCTTAGAATTATTTGAAATATTAATCCCTCTAAGTAGTCCAGAATTGTAAGCTATTTTAGCTGAATCTTTCAAATTTGTCAAATTACAGAGATGCATATAAATCCTTGAAGACATTACCATGTTTTAAAAG